TCCTCGAAGTATGGCCTACATTCTTTGTTTTTATATTATATATACACACATACACACACACACACACTTTTGCACTTAGCAGTATTAAAACACGTATTATTTGCTTGTGCCCAGTTTACCAAGCAATCCAGATCACTCTGTATCAATGACCAGTCTCCTTCATTATTTACCACTTCACCAATTTGTACATTATCTGCAAACTTTATCAGTGATGATCTTATGTATACTTCCAGGTAAATGCTAAAACCATTAAATAGTGTAGGCAAAGAACCAATCCCTGTGGGACCACACTAAAAACAAACACACTCGATGCTGATTTCTCATTTACAATTACATTGAGGCCTATCAGCTAGCCAATTTTTAATCCATTTAATGTGTACTATGTTTATTTCATATCATTCTGTTTTGTTTTAATCAAAATGTTATGTGGTACTAAGGAAAACTCCTTACAGAAGTTTAAGTATATTACATCAACACTATTATTTTTATCAATTAAACTCATAATCTCATCAAGAAAAGATATCAAGTTAGTTTCCATAAAATCATGTTGATTGGCATCAATTATATTATGTTCCTTTAATTCTTTAATACACCTCTACCTCGATATAACGCTGTCCTCGAGAGCCAAAGAAATCTTACCGCGTTATAGGTGAAACCGCATTATATCGAACTTGCTTTGATCCGCTGGAGTGTGCAGCCCCGCCCGCTCCTGGAGCACTGCTTTACCGCGTTATATCAGAATTTGTGTTATATCGGATTGCGTTACATCAGGGTAGAGATGTAATTGAGTCCCACATCAACCACTCCATTATCTTGCCCGAAATCAATGTCAGGCTGACAGACCTATAATTACCCATGTCATCCCATTTCCCCTTTTTAAATATTGCACAGCTTTAGTTTTCCTCCAGTGTTCTGGAACTTCTCCAAAAGTTCCAAGACTTATTGACATCAACATTAACAGTCCAGCAAGCTCCTCAGCCAGCTCTTTTAAAACTCTTGGATAAAAGTTATCTGGACTTGCTGACTTAAAAATGTGTTGCTCATATGATGAGACTATATCATCTATTTCTCCCCAAATACAGAACAGAAATATTTATTGAAGGCTTCTTACTTTTCTGCATTATTATTGATAATTCTATCATTTCCAGCTAATATTGGACCAATACCGTTGTTAAGATTCATTTTGTTCCTAATGTACTTTAAAAAATCCTTATTATCCTTAACTCTGCAGACCACAGATTTTTCCTTGTGTTTCTTTGCTTCCCTTTTAATTTTTCTACAATTCCCAGGTTCCGATTTATATTTACTAGTATACACTTCCCCTTTCTTCCATATATATATTATTTATTGTCGATAGCTGCCTTTACTTCCCCTCTAAACCAGGTTGGTTTAGTCTGGATTGTGGCTTTGGGGGCGTCTAGTAAAGTGTTCTTAAACAAATCCTAATTATCATTCACATTTTTCCGATTAAATTCTTCCTCTCAGCTGATTTGGCTCATAATTATTTTCAACTTTGTGAAATTGGCCCTTTTAAAGCACCAAGTGTATATATTAGTGGTCTAGACTTTATTCTGTTTGCACACTATAAATGTGATCAAGCAACGTTCACTTGTACTTAAGGTACAATTAATTTTTTGTTCTGTGATTGGTTCCTTTTTATCTGTCAACTCAGGTCTACTATAGGATTCCCCTATGTTGGATGCAACTCTTTTGGAGTTAGGAAATTGTCATCTATAATATTTAGAAATTCCAAGGATGTTTTAGTACCGGCAGCAGGAGATGTCCAGCATATGTCACTCCAATTGAAGTCACTCATGATCATGCAGCTTTTTTTCCTACAAATGATAGATAGATGCATAAAGAGGGGGCCATGCTGTTCCCTAGTGTGATTTGGTGGTCTGTAGCAAACACCAGCTAAACACTTGTGCTTTAGGTGGCTATGCCCTGCTTTGCCACCTGATTATGGGGTATTACATAATACAGTTGAACTGATCCTGAACCTTCTTTGCTTCCCAGAACGTTATCAGAGCCTGAACAATGGCCTCGGACCAGTCTGAGTTATTCGTATGATAGCCAACATTAAGGCGTGCCACTACAGTAAGAAAAACTTCACATAAGTGTTTAAAGATACGGTGGAAACAGCACACAAGTGAAATTCAAGGCCTGTGCAGCACTATTTGTAAAGTTAGGGCTGGTTTTAGAAAGCAGACTACTAGTCCATCATAACAGATTCTTGTGCACTGTGGGGCAGCAGTAGAAAAATTATGTGTGTTGTGAAGATTACTACATCAGCAGTCCCCACCCCCACTAGCACTGCACCAGTGGAGACTCTCAGTGTCAGACCGCATAGCTGTTAGTCTTGTTTTGTGTAAGGCTAAACCAAAACAGTGGTTGCAAGGTGGGTACCACTAGGAACATTTCTGTGTGTGGATACACAAGAGGGCCATATCTTATGCTCATGATAGAAGCTAATGGTAAGCGGCACTGGTTTGAACTTGAGAATATTTGTTCTTGGGCATAATTGCTCATATATGCTCCACTAAACAATATTTGTTTAAGGTGGATATTACATTGCTAGTGCAATCCAAGGAAACTGACCCTCACCCATCTCCATACGCACATTGCCAATATACTATTTCCATGTCTTTTAAACAAGCATACAAAATACAATAAGATGTCCAACAGTTTTAGGGTCATTCATTTTTAAACACTTTGAAAAATCATATGCAAAGTTACTACAGGGCAGGAAGTCTGTATATTAGTAAGGAATTGGCAATTAAACTCAACAGCTAACTTTGCTCAGAGAGCAGACTGCTGTCATCTAGTACCACTGTACTGGTAGACAGACTGTTTCTAGTCTACCCTACTAAATTAAGATTTAAAGACCAGTACCATGTACTGCACCAAGGAGCAAAAACAACAGTCTCAAGAAAGAGAACCCAGGGAACTACAGACCAGTCAGCCTCACTTCAGTCCCTGGAAAAATCATAGAGCAAGTCCTCAAGGAAACCATTTTGAAGCACTTGGAGGAGAGGAAGGTGATTAGGAACAGTCAACATGGATTCACCAAGGGCAAATCATGCCTGATCAATCTGATTGCCTTCTATGATGAGATAACTGGCTCTGTGGGTATGGAGAAAGCGGTGGACGTGATATATCCTGACTTTAGCAAAGCTTTTGATATGGTCTCCCACAGTATTCTTGCCAGCAAGTTAAAAAAGTATTGATTGGATGAATGGACTATAAGATGGATAGAAATCTGGCTAGATTATCGGGCTCAACGGGTAGCGATCAACGGTTCGATGTCTAGCTGACAGCCGGTATCAAGCGGAGTGCCCCAGGGGTCGGTCCTGGGACCAGTTTTGTTCAACATCTTTATTAATGATCTGGACGATGGGATAGATTGTACCCTCAGCAAGTTCGCAGATGACACTAAGTTGGGGGGAGAGATAGATACGTTGGAGGGTAGGGATAGGGTCCAGAGCAGGGGTTCCCAAACTTGGTTTGTGGCTTATTCAGGGTAAGCCCCTGGCGGGCCGCAAGACGCTTTGTTTACTTCAGCGTCCGCAGGTACGGCCGCTCGCAGCTCCCAGTGGTCGCGGTTTGCGGTTCCAGGCCAATGGGAGCTGCAGGAAGCAGTGGCCCGGCCTGTGCCCCTTCCTGCGGCTCCCATTGGCCGGGAACTGCGAACCGCGGCCACTGGGCGCTGTGTGGGGCCATACCTGCGGAAGCTCAGGTAAACAAAGCGTCTCGCGTCCCGCCTGGGACTTACCCTGAACAAGCCGCAAACCAAGTTTGGGACACCCTGGTCCAGAGTGACCTAGACCAATTGGAGGATTGGGCCAAAAGAAATCTGATGAGGTTCAACAAGGACAAGTGCAGAGTCCTGCACTTAGGGCGGAAGAACCCCATGCACCGCTATAGGCTGGGGACCGACTGGTTAAGCAGCAGGTCTGCAGAAAAGGACCTGGGGATTACAGTGGACGAGAAGCTGCATATGAGTCAGCAGTGTGCCCTTGTTGCCAAGAAGGTTAACGGCATATTGGGCTGCATTAGTAGGAGCATTGCCAGCAGACGGAGGGAAGTGATTATTCCCCTCTATTCAGCACTGGTGAGACCACATCTGGAGTATTGTGTCCAGTTCTGGTCCCCCCCACTACAGAAAGGATGTGCACAACTTGAAGAGAGTCCAGCAGAGGGTAAGTAAAGTTATCAGGGGGCTGGGACACATGACTTATGAGGAGAGGCTGAGGAAACTGGGCTTGTTTTGTCTGCAGAAGAGAAGAGTGAGGGGGGATTTGATAGCAGCCTTCAACTACCTGAAGGGGGGTTCCAAAGAGGATGGAGCTAGGGCCTGTTCTCAGTGGTGGCAGATGACAGAACAAGGAGCAATGGTCTCCGGTTGCTGTGGGGGAGGTCTAGGTTGGATATTAGGAAACACGATTTCACTAGGAGCTTGGTGAAGCACTGGAATGGGTTACCTAGGCAGATGGTGGAATCTCCATCCGTAGAGGTTTTTAAGGCCCACCTTGACAAAGCTCTGGCTGGGATGATTTAGCTGGTGTTGGTCCTGTTTTGAGCAGGGGGTTGGACTAGATGACCTCCTGCGGTCTCTTCCAACCCTAATCTTCTGTTTCTATAAATCTTAATTCCTGATGTGTTGGCTGTATATCTTTTAAACCACAAAATGGCACTTAATGCTCAGTTCAGTCGGTCACCAAGGGCAAATGAGGCGACTAAACAGTCTGCAGGGCCAAGATCCCTGGCAGGCCCAGGAGGGCTCACCGAGCTCAGCGGCACTTCTGCGGGATCTCTGGCCGCCTTTGTGCGGGGCGCGGAGTAGGAGTGGCTGGCTGCAGCGAGTGGGAGCCTGCGTGTGCAGAGGGCAGCCGCGCCCAGGAAAAGGGAACCCACCCCATGAGGGCGGCGGGGAAGCAGGCGGCACCTGAGCGCACAGAGTGAGTGCCGGGCAGGGCGCAGCGGGGGCGCCGGGTACTCACAGCGGGTTCCAGCGCTCGGGCAGGCGGCGGTGCAGGGAGATGCGGTCGCTCAGGTAGATGTTGATCTGGTGATGCCGGATACTCTCCTCTTGGCGGTTCTTCTCGGCCGGGCTCAGCTCCAGCCGCACAGCCTGGCCCAGCTCGCCCAGCGCCCCAGGCTCCAGGGGCGGCTTCTCGTACACGGGTCTCCGCAGGCGCTCGGGGTCCCCGGGCAGTGGCGGCTGGGGGGCCCCGCGGGCAGGACGCGCAGCATCGCTCTCCGGGGGGACGCGCCGCCACAGCAGGAAACCCAGTGCCGCCAGCAGCCCCAGGGCCAGCAATGCCCCTGCTCCCCGGGGGGCCCGGCCCCGCCTGCCCCACCACTTGCCGCGGCCGGCCAGCCCCACCATGCCCGCGCTGGGGGCGCTCCTGCCCGCGGGCGGCCTGGGAACTTTGCAAAGTTTCACAAACCTGGGAGCAGCACAACTACCCGAGAGCGGGCGCTAAAGCTCCCCCTCCAGGAAACCCTGCCGGATCCTCCGCCAGCGGCTCCTCCCTTCTCCCCGCCCCACTGCCAGCAAAACCTGGAGGGCAGAGCCGGACGGAGCAGCCTAGGGAAGCGTCAGCCCAGCAAGAGAAACCCAGCCCCCGCTGCCTACATTTAATAGGCTCGGAGTTCGTCCTGAACTCTTTCAAAGGGGAGCTGAGCGTTGCTGCGCTGCTCAGCTTGTACCGACTGCTGCAGAGGTCCAACTCCTAGCCATGCTCCCACGGCTGAAGAAGCCTCCCTTCCCCAAATACAAACAAATCACTGCTCGTTGACAGGAAAGCGTCCTCAGAGTGTAAATGTCAGGCAGGAAGGAGCTCAACACCTGAAGCATCTGCCCTTGATAGAGCTTCACAGTAACAGGAAGAGCTCCTAACAATACTAATCGTCAAAACCCCATTGCACTTGGTGGTGCACAGTTTTATTGCAAGCTTCATGGTACTTGGCGTTTTTCTTAAAAGACCTAGCAGTTGGAGTCATGGGATTAAGAACCTGTCTCTATTTCCAACACTTCTGATTGCAGAGAAAACCTGGAAAATGTGACCCAAGTGGACACTAAATGTAAGGGGACTGTAGGCCCCTTACTAAAATTCAGTGTGTGTGTCGGGGGGATTGGCTAACTCCCAGTACCAAAAGTAGGGGGAAGGGTCAATGGGAAATCAGGACCCTGATACTGACAGTCCTCAGAAACAAGGGGAGAGGCCAATGCTCCAGGTCAATCTGATTGACAGGGAGGGCAGGCTAATGAGGGAGTCAGGATGCCAGGAGGTCCCGTCCTCGGTGTGAGCCAGAATTGCCTGGGTCAGACAGAGTGGGGCCAAGCTAAGGAGAGAGCAGAGCCTTGCCAGCCAGAGGGGCCAGAAAAGGAGTCCAGGAAGCAGGTCAGTGCCAGGAGCAGAGTCACAGAAGCAGCCCAGAGAGCAGACCTGCACCGGGAGCAGAGCTGTAGCAACCAGAGCCAGAGGGGCCAGAGAAGCAGCCCAGGGAGCTGGAGGCAGAGCAGCAGCAGCAGTGCTGAGGCAGAGTGGAGTTGGGGCTAGGGCTGGAGTAGTCTAGAGCTGAGTGCAGTGAGCAGCTGGGGAGAATGAGGGGGACCCTGGGCAGTGGGCCCAGCGCAGGGAGATGCCCCCAGTCAAGAGGCCTTGCAGGCTAGACTTAGAGGGTCCCTGTAACCCCAGTGGGGCGGGGGCAACACTAGGAAGAAGGGTCCTGTCACCTAAACCCTGAGGGTGTGTGGCCACCGCCAGAGCAAGTATCCAATCCGCAGTATCCCTGCAGCACAGCCAGGGCCTGAGAAGGAGGCTTCAGACTTGTGAGGAACAGACTGAACTTCCCTTACATTCCAGAGACGCCGGTTGTGATAAACGCGCACAGTGGCACGGGGACATGTGTTTTCCTTTAACCTTTCCCATTTTTTCCTTACTTTTTAAATTGATTGGTGTTTAATAAATTGTGTTTGCTTTGAACTGTATGTAATGATCAGTGGGTCAGGAAAGCATTCAGTGCAGAGAGAGCACTCCGGAGTGAGTACTCCCTAGGCCCTGCCCTAAGTGACCATGACAAAGTTGGGGGTTGAGCCCCCCAGGAATCCTGGCCCAGCCTTGTTGGGGTTACGAGGACTCTGCCATGCAGGAGAGTGGAAGGGGAGCCCTTGAGGTCAGACAGGCCTCTGGGTAAAGGAAGTGCAGCGAGGACTCAGATCCTTTCGCTGGCCCATTTCACCAGGGTAGTGTTCCCCACAATAGCGGGACCATTCCCCCGCTTACATAATGGCTCAAAGCAAAGGAAAAATCCCATGTCATATAGTAGTTTTTGAATGTTTAGGGTTAGCAATACTCATTCTATGGCACAATGGGGCCAAATTTCCCAAGATCCCCTAAAATTTCACAACAATGCTAATTCATTTGTATCCATGAAAAACCCTAAGGCTATGTCTACACTTATACCGCTACAATGGCATAACTAACATGTCAGTGTAGCTACTCACTAGTTAATCCACTTCCCTGAGAGGCAGTAGGCCTTTTGTTAAGCTAGTGCTGTCTACACCAGGCGTTAGGTCAGTTTTACTACGTTGCTCAGAGATGTGCAGTTCTCACACCCCTGAGTGACATAGCTGGGCCAACTTAGCTTTTTAGTGTACACCTGACTTTAATTCTCATCCCTTTCACCCCCAGACAACACCAGATGAAGGCATAGACAGTGTAGGCCTGTGCCTAGGGTCCCAGCTCCTGAAGTCATGTGATTACATCAATATCTTAGCTTTCATTTTAAAACATTTTTCTAACTCTTAGGTGCAAAGGAAAGCTTGAAAATGTGACTATGATATCTGCCTGTGTCTGTGGACAGCCTAGAGCAACAGCTCTGAGGTGTGAAATGCCCCCACGTGCAATAGCAGAGTGTTCATTCCAAGATTCCCTGCTCAGGAGGTGGGGGACCTACCAAGACCACCCCAGCAGAGGACTCTGTAAAAGTAGAGCACTAGAGCAGGGGTTCTCAAACTGGGGGTCGGGACCCCTCAGGGGGTCACAAGGTTATTACATGGGGAGGTTGCGAGATGGTAGCCTCCACCCCAAATCCCACTTTGCCTCCAGCATTTATAATGGTGTTAAATATATTTAAAAGTGTTTTTAATTTATAAGGGAGATCGCACGCAGAAGCTTGCTATGTGAAAGGGGTCACCAGTACAAAAGTTGACTGCACTAGAGGCTTTGCCCATCCACTCAGACACACCCTGACTACTGGGACAAGTGGCACTGGGAGGCCCCTGCTGCCATTACTGGCAAAAGAAGGGGACCCCCTTACACTGTCCCTGACTCTCTGGGAGTGGAAAAGGACACTCTGCCTCTGTCACTCCAAGTGGGGGCAGAGCCATGACATAAGAATGGATGCACAGGAGCTCCTCCCTCACCCGCCACTCCCCGTGTTTCTCTGGAGTGTCTTAAAGCCTTGCTGTCCCCAAACACACAAAATATGGCCAATAGCTGAAAATATTTGACATAACATTTACCATGCAGCAACATTATTTTTGAGTAGAGGTTTTCTTTGTAGGTTCTCTAGGATCCATAGGCTTGGCAGTCCAGGTAGCCTGGCTCAGAATCTCATTGCGCCAAGTAAAGTGAAGGAGAGAGCTTGCAGCCAATTTCAGCAGCTCATTTTTTGGGTTCCCCTGGCTTCAATTGCTGCACTGTACTCTAGACAGCCCAGCTCTCGTTGATCCCTTGTTGCAGCTGGACTCCAGCTCTGGCTCCCCCAGCTCTCTGCTTCCCTTACTTGCATAGTGCTGCGGTTTCCTTAGCAGTGTTAAGACAGAATAACTTTGCAAATACATGAAATGGGCAGCAGTCAGATATGCTGATCTGTTAATAAAAAAGAATATGAGATCACTGTTATGGTTTTGCATTAGAGTGCAAGTTTGATTAAGTTAGGATACATATTGTTTTTTGGTATCTGTTGGAGATGGAAGTGAAAACCTTATGGAGTGTTGGAGTGAGTTATCTACAGTGTTATAGGCAGCACGAAGGTGGAAAGGAATGCACAAATCTTTCCTCATATTTCTATTTCTTTTAAGGTTTTGCGTGAATGGGGGGTGTTCTGATGCAACCTTCCTGTCACTAAACGTTATCAAACAAAAACCATTACAATAAAACCACAGTTTCATTGGAAAATGGCGTGTCGGATGATGGTATTGAAGGGACCATCAAAGCCCTGTTATAATGAAAAACCAGCTTTGAGGAAACTCCTGTGCAGATATAGGTGACTCGAATACTAAATTCAAGATAACAATATGATAGATTTGTCTAGGACTATGACTCCTTATTCAAAGTTGTATGATTTTGGATATCACAGGGTTACAGTAGCTGACAAATTTATATCAGGAGCCCAAAGACTTTGATATATTCTGTATGCAATGATAGAAGCTGTGAGCCAGGAGTGGAATAAGATGTTAAGTGATGGGATTAATGAAGAAGTGCAAAAAAGGACAACAGGTGCCAAAAAGTAGATTGAAAAAATTAGATTGTGTAACTATAAGAAGTAAATAAAGTTGTGGGTATAGAGCACCTGTACCTAATAATAATAGTATTCTCCAGGCCACACGGAGTAAAATGCTTCAACAAATCTATTGCAATTTTGACAACATTTTTGCAAAAACATAGGCAGGTTTCCATTGGAAGCTTGATGGTGTTCCAGGATTGAGAGCTCTGCTGCAGGGAACCTGCAGGCTGCTAGACTCTCCGGTTGCTAGGTTTCCCTTCTACCCAACCTGGGGATGAATTGGGGTTCTATAGGTAAGGAGGCTGTTATCTGTAGGACCCCTGCCTCATTTGTTGCAGAATTGAGATGTGTGTACTATTTGTGTGTACTGGGACAGGCAAGTCTAGACCTGCCCAAAGCCAGAGGCCCACCCCCTCAACTGAGAGGGAGGAGTCATTGGACCCAGGCCACAAGTCAGTACTGGGGACAATAAATGAAATAAACAGGGACAGGAGAATTAGTGGGTGCATAACACCCACCGGCAGCCAAGCTCCCCTCCCTCCCCACAGCGCCTCCCGTCCACTGGCGGCCCCGCTGATCAAATCCCCCTCCCTCCCAGCATCTCCCGGCCGCTGCGGTCAGCTGTTTCGCAGCGTGCAGGAGGTCTGGGGGGAGGGGGAGAAGCGGGGATGGGGTGCGCTTGGGGAAGGGGGTGGAACTGGGCGGGAAGAGGCGGGGTTGAGGTGAAGTGGGGGCAAGAAGAGGTGGGGTGGAGGTAGAGGCTTGGGGGAAGGGGTGGAGTGTGGGGAGGCCTGGGGCAGAGTGGGGGCAGGAAAAGGCAGAGCAGGGGTGGGGGTTTGGGTGAAGGGGTCAGGTGTGGGCAGGTCCTGGGGTGGAGCAGGGGTTTGAGCACCCCTGGGGCCCAGAGGAAGCCAGTGCCTGTGGACAGGAGTGAAGGTTAAAGGCTGAAAATCAGGAATCTAGGGGGAGTCACTGAGCAGAGAAGC